GGGGTTTTGGGGCTTAGGCTTTAGGGGTTTAGGGTTTAGGGTTATAGGTAGTACGCTTGATGATATAAATCCGGCGTAACCCATAATACGGAGTATACCATAGCTCCCATAGTTTAGTTAGGGTCCTTAAGGTAATGCAGGATGTAGATCATCAACAGTAGGGCTTCGGGTTTAGGGCTTAGGCTACACTAGCTTTAGGGCGCGTCTATTATAAGGGTTACATTGAGCTTTGTTAGGGTTTTCTGCTTCGAAAGACTCCGGGTTTAGAACGGCTGGTGGGGGGGGGGGGCATCATAAGTGTTTTCAAAAGAGGTCTTGCAGGGTATAAGGGTTTATGGTAAGGCTTGGTAAGCGAGTTGATGGAGGGTCTATGGTGGAGGAGGGTAAAGTTGTTGGGGGTTCAGGGTTTACCTCATTTAAGATGATTTATAAAGGGCGTTTCTAGGGCACCTAGCGCAGAGGGCATATAAACATCTACCGTCCCTGATGTTCTGACAGTGCCAGGTGGTCTCTATGCTTCAAGCCTTATGACATGGATGATCGGGCATGGTGCAGAATTCCGGGGTATCCCCATTCTTTATAATGATGTGGCAATGGTGTCAACACTTGCACAGCTACAAGCCTTCATACGGAAGGTGTCCTGCGGCCAGGTGCCAATGGCCCGGAAGATGCGCTTCTGCTTCTGGGATCCTGTTAAGGGATTGAATTTAAGTTACCATAATACGGAAACCCTATTATTTACTAGAGTAGATCCCTATTATGGTAACTTAAACTAAATCCCTTAACAAGAGCTCAGGCTTTGACCTTGATGGGACATTGGTGTCCCATCCCCCAGACAAGACAGCACGATGCCAGCTGTTGGTGTCAGCGGTCGAACTGGTGCGCCAATTACATTCAGCAGGCCACACCATCATCATCACCACATCCCGGGGAATGCCACACGGTGGAGGCGTTGATCGAGCGATTGCAGAGCAAGGCATGGAAACCTTCAAGCTGCTGGAGGAGTTCGCCATACCCTACGACGAGCTACACTTTGGCAAGCCTCATGCAGACGTCTACGTCGACGCGCAAGCCATCAACTCACAAGGAGACCTGAATCGTGACCTTGGCTGGTATGTGGGTTCTGGCGAGAGTGGGCAAGGCGGGATTGATGGTGCCATTGATGCGCGCTCCTTTAACATGGTACGTTCGGCTGGCCAGTCACATGTCATCAAGTCTTCGAAGGTCGATGTCCTCAAGGGAGAATGTCACTGGTACCGGTCCATTCCGCCGCGCCTTGCCGGCTACTTCCCACAGCTGATCGAAATCGAAGAAGGCGATGCATCTAGCAGCGATGCAGTGTCAAGCATTACAATGGCCCGAGTTCCGTGGTTGTTTGTTAAGGGATTTAACTTAAGTTACCGTACTAAGGAAACCCTATTATTTACTTTTGATCCCTATTATGGTAGCTTAAATTATATCCCTAAACCCTGAAACTTAAACCCTAAATCCTACACCCTAAACCCTAAATGAAATCCCTTCACAAGAGAGCCCAGGTTCTTGGGGTGACTTTCTCTCATCTGGTGACCGCGAGGCTGCTTCTGCCAGAAGGGATGCGAAGATTGGTGCGGGCACTGCATGCCATCCACACAGAGACTTAGTAGCGAAATCGGGGTTTAGGGGGTTTATTAGCTGAATGGTATTGGGTTTAGGATTTAGGGTTTCTTAGTAGCTGAATGACTACGCTTTTAAAGCTTTTTTGGGATAAGATGATCCCTTCTAGAACTGAAGGTGTACACCTTTTTTGTGCTTATTATGAGCTCAGCAGCTAAGGAGAAGCCCGACGAGGGCTCCCAGCTCTCGAAGGAGCGGAAGGCCGGTAATGCGGATCTTTGTGCCAACTACGGCTCCAAGGTGAAGAAGCTTAGTTCTCCAATACAAAAACTTTAAACTTTTCAGGGCTTAGTTCTCCAATACAAAAACTTTATAAGCTTATCAGGCTCCTATGGTTTAGTAGTAATGTGAAGGTTGAACCTTCTCATTTCTGGCTTACTGGGGGAAGTAAGGAAGAGAGCCATGGAGCACCTCAGCTTATATGACTCTCTAGCAGAGGAGCTGGGCATCAACGTCCGAAGGATGGCGGATGTTTTGGTCGGGTTTCTGGAGGACTTCGAGGCATCGCAGAAAGCCCAGCATGCGTTTTACATCCATGGCGACCCGGTCTTCTCCAACATACTGAGGACCAACGATGCTACTAGGCTTTTCTTGAAAACTGAATTATTGTTATTATTATTTCCATTATTACTAATAATCTATATTGTGTTGTATCGTCGGTACATGGAGCAACAAGTACGTTGTTGACGATGCCTCCAAGAAGAGCCCAGGATAGGATCCTTATGATTGACATGCGTGGACAGCTGGGGAAGTGGATAACAACACAAGGGGATGTCCACTATGACCTGAGCAAGGTTTTCCAGAGCCTGTGTGGCTACGACTTCATGCTGCTAGACCAAGTTCTGGATGAGTCTGCTTCTGAGACTTTCGATGCCTTGAGGGCTGCATATTGGGAAGAGGTCAGGCAAAGATACCCTGACGTTTCACATAGACAAGTTCGGCTTCTGACAGCGGCGCACTTCTTTACGATTGTGCCGCTGCACGAGGTGCGGTCCAGGATGGCCCGATATTTGCGAACCGCTCACTCCATGCTGCATGTAGAGGGCTTGCTGTAGAAAGGTGTGTGTCTGCGTGCAAATGTCGGGGAGGGCCGACGACGAGTGACTGCAAGGACGAAAAACCAGCTTGAGTTTCCGGGCAGGGGAGGGAAGAGAGGGAGGCTTTGCAAGTGGGAAGCAAAGTACGTACAATGAGATGGAAACGTAGAACCGATGAAGAATGTGGAGACGAGTGGTTAATCCTGACCTGAGCCTGAACCCTGTACGCCTTGCACGAAGCCTGTTATGTCGGCATCTGGGCTTCTGGGGATAGACAAGCTCTGCCGGATTCCCAGGCTTCTCAGGAATGTTTGGCTTCGTTGAAAAAGAGATCCCAAAGAAGGGTGCGTAGGACAAGCATCCTAATACTCAGGGTCCGTTATAAGCAGTTTCAATGCATGAGCTCAGGGCATTGTCTTGCAGGTTCTGTGGGTTTCCGAAACTAGGGGACCCTAATATAGCACGCTTAACAGTAGGATCCTTATTATAGGGACCCCAAAATAAGGTACCCCAATTTTGGAAACTCCCTTATGTTTCGATCCCAGCCCACACACTGAAGATGCCCATTTAAGCATCTTCTCAAACTCCTACTTGGAGGTTCGTGCGGGTAGTTATAAGTGGGGTTACAAGTAGGATAACTACAGTTGTAAACTATATTCAGGGATTTATAACTCCACTTATAACTACCCATGAACCTCCAAGTATGACCCCTTATACACCCCTTATGGATCCCATAAAGGAACCTTATAACTACCCATGAACCTGCATTTGCCCTCCCAGACCCCGCTCTCCCGGAATCAAGGCATCTTTTTCCACAGCCACTCTAGACACTAGATCCTTGAACCCTAACAAAAACCCTATAAAGCCCATACTTGGAGGTTCATGGTTAGCTACAAGTAGGGCTATAAGTAGGATGATTATAGCTATGACCTAGATTAGGGGACTTATAACTCCACTTATAACTGCCCATGAACCTCCAAGTATGTTCCCCTTGTGGAACCCTTACGGAGCCCGTTTAGAGCCCTTACAGAGCCGTTATAAATCCCTTATAGATCCCCTAAAGGAACGTGATTACTAATGCAGGGGCCGAAATAATTAGAAATACGATTTTGGTGGCTCCTTAAGAGAGTTATGGTATAATGGGTCCCAAGACCCTATTCTAACTATGAAGGCCCCTACATTACATCCTTACATAAAACCCAATAAGGAACCTCCAAAACCCCTATTCTAACTGTGAAGGCCCCGGCCCCTCTACACTACCGAGGCCTTGGGCTGAACCCCTCAGCCCACTTTCACCCGCAGGCACCCAGCCTCTGGGATGGCAACGCAGCAGAGATCGATCGGGAGGCCGGGGGTCAGAATAAGAATACGTAGTGCTCTATAGCATACTGAATCGTGTCACTTGGAAGCTCAGAAGACTTAGTAGGCGAGGCGATAAATAATGTAACTATAGCTATGCGTACGTACAACAAATTCTTACTTGCTTCCTCCCCTCATCCTCGAATCGAGGGGTTTGGGGGGTTTGAAGGGTTTCAGGGTTCCTTGTGGATGGGCTTCAGGTTTAGCTTTCAAGACTTGGGTCTCGAGGCTTCGAGTTTTTCAGGGCTTCAGGTTTCTCTTGGGCAACGAGGGGCCAACGGAGTGCCTGAAAGTTTCCGGCCTTTGCGGCGTACTTTCCCACTCTACCAGGGACCTTCATGCCCTAAACCTGGAGTTGAAAAGCCAAAAACGTTGCACACTAAGCCCGAAACAAGCTACACCTCGCGCCCCCCACCGCCGCAGAGAGAAAGCCTTAGCCAGATCTCCAGAGCTCTGGGTTTTGTTCCAGCTTTACCAGGCTTGGAGAGTTTGCCGGTCCTTCTGTGGGTATAAAATACTATAAGTATACTAAGGAACCCCCAAAACCCTAGCCTATTTATTAAGGCCCTACATTCAGCATGGCATCAGGCATGTACACACACGCACACACACACACACACACGCACACACACACACGTGTATGAGTGTGTGTTTATGATTGTTATTTACATGCGTACTTTTTCGCTGTGTTTTCATATATGCATATACGGCATATTTACGTGCATACACAGACAGGCAGGCAGGCAGGCAGACAGCTATACATGACATACCTACCGGCACCCGCAGACACACATAAAGATCTGCACGTACATAAGAGACCATCGTAATCCCAATAGTAACCCTTTTAGAAGCCCTAAATACGCAAGGATCCCCGCATTAGTCCTTGTAGTACCCCTATAGCAAACATGTCCTCCAAAGCCTAGACCCAACAATACAAAAAAGGTGCTTCGGCATCGGGGCGCATCCGTCAAAGTAGAAGTCACAGGCTCTTGGCAGATACCGCTTGCGCTTCCCTGAAGCGCCACCTAGATTGCAGTGGAAGAATCCAAGGGGGACTTAGTAAGCAGAGTGGGGCTTTCTAAGTAGGGTGTTCTCTCACTTCAAACGTTTTGATCAGCGTTTAAACGGCCAGGGACTCAGCAAGCAGAGCTTTATTGGCTTGTAGACGGTTTTGTGGGCGTTTCAAGGATCGGCAGAACTAGTTGTTTAAGGGTTCGAAGGGTTTTTTTGTGAGCGAAGATCCAATGGTCATGCGACCTAGCAAGTAGGGATACAAGTGAAGTAACTATAGCTATATGTTCTCAAAGCTTGTCTTAAACTCCGTATGACCTTACTTACTCAATCCCCTTAGCCTCTAAGCAGGGTTCGGTGGAAGCCCAGCGATGCAGCGGGCTGAAAAGCCTTTGATTCAGGAATAGACCTTAAACTGTAACAAGGGTCCGAGTAGTATGCTTCTTTACTCAGCGGTTTAGGGTTTAGGACTTTGTGTTTTCCTGAGGAGGTTCTCAGAAACTTCAGCACACCTTTGCATCAAGGGTTTTGTAGGGTGCTGATGAGGTGTTCGTCAGGGCTTGATCGGCTTTGCAATTATGGTTTGGGAGCCCGATACCCCTTAATTCACGAATACATATCATAGGAGCATTTAAAAACTTTCAACAGGGTGTCGAGGTCCGCTATGCAAGTACATAAGTACATAGGGACAATAAGGGGATCCTGTTGCTAACTGTACGGACCTCTACATCAATTTTGGAATCCCTCCCACCCAAACATACATTCAGAAGGAAAGAAGACCCAGCTGTAGTGAAGCGGGAAGTCGGAGTGGCAGATACGGTTGATGATATAAATCCTGCATTACCCACAATAAGGAATATACCCTAATTCCCATAGTTTTGTGTCCTTAAGGTAATGCAGGATTTATATCATCAACAGTATCATAATTGTCAGGGTTCCTTGCAGGGATCTACAGGGGGTGCTGTAGGTAGTGGAAACGTAGGTAAAGCTCACGCATGGGTTATCGTCAGCTCATCAAAGTCCTTGCTTGTTCCGGTACTGTAGAGGTCTGAATAACTCATAAGACAATCCGGTACATAAACCGGTTATACGCATATTAGACTATACTACCAGAGCCCCGTCTAGCCATTGACGCCTCTAAACTACTTAAGCCTTGTTGGAACGCTGTTCCTTTCTTTAAAGGGTCCTTATAGGAGTCTGGATCGGAGAGCAGCAAGAGGCTCCTCTTCCTCTGGCAGACCTCCTTTGCACCAGATGCCCCTTGGAACGAGGGTTTAAAGTTCAGGGGTAGTTATAAGTAGGGTTATAAGTAGGATAACTATAGTTATAACCTGTATTAGGGGACTTATAACTCCACTGATAACTTCCCATGAACCTCCAAGTAGGGTTTACGGTGCCATGCGTTCGCAGGTTTAGTTAGCCAAGCCGAATCCTCAACCTTAGGGTTCCCTAAACCCCTGAACCCTTAAACCCTAAGCCCCTAAAACCCTAAACCCTGAACCCCTAAAGCCCCTAAACCTTTACCTAAAGGGGGCGAATGGGTTTAGGATTAGGATTCAGAGGTTTTGATTCAGAGGTTTCGAGGCCGGAACCTAGGCCGACTTCCAAGCCCCAGAGCCATCAAGGGGGAGTTCTCTAAAGTTCGGGTCCCTTTTGGGGGTTCCTCAAAGGGATCTATGAGGGTTTTTATAGGGTTTCTACAAGGGTACTATAGGGGTAGTTCTCTATATTAGGGTCCGTTTTAGGGCTCCTTAAAGGGATCCATAAGGATTTTCTTTAGGGTTTCTCTAAGGGTACTACAAGGGTAGTTCTTTAAATTAGGGCCCCTTTTCTAGATCCCCAATTTTGTACGGCACCCTATTTAAAGGAACCCGAAAGGGGACCTTAGTTTTCGAGAACTACCCATCAACTTGAAGTGGGGTGTTTAGGGATTCATGTAGACCCATGCACATCCATTGGAAGGTCCTCTTTGTGGGCGGTTTTTGAGCAAGCTGAAGTTACGAGACGCAACCAGTCAGTAGCTAAGATAAGAAGTCGGCATCTTGTGATCCCAGTTACGGATTTGGCACAGTGCACACTGCGAAATACGGCACCCCGAGGCCTCAGTTGTCGGAAGCCCCTCACTTCTTCAGGCTATACTATAGGAGCCTTAATAATCAGAATAGGGTTTTCTGGGGTATAGTATACTATAATCATAATAAGGAGCCCCAGACAGTAGTATCGGTAATTACTGAGGCCCTTATATATTCAGCCCCAACCCCTGTAAAACTCCATTCAGCCCTCCCAAATATGCAATTCCTACATTTCAAAACTCCCTCTATTCACCTGCCCGGCTCGGGCTGCTCAGCATAAGAAACATTCAAGCAAGATCTGCTTAAAGCCCGAAGCTCCAAACTCAAACACCTTTAAAAACAAGTAAAGCCCCCAAAACCCCCAATCCCAAAGCTGGAAACTCAAACCTGTTCTTCAAGAAGAAAGGCTGAAAAGAGTTTCTTTTGAACCCTAAACCCTGAATCCTAAACCCTAAAACCCTAAAGCCCTATAAACCCTAAACCCCCAAACCTCTAAATACCCGAAATTTCTCCAGGTTTTGTCGCAACTGCACCAACCTTTGAGCTGCGTCGAGTCGACACCTTCAGCTCGGCTCC